TATTTACATTTGTTAAGGCTTTACGATTCTGCGACCAACAACCTGATTGTGGTCGTGGTCAGCCTTTACTTGCATGTTGTCTTTACTTCTAAAACAAGTTGGTACCCATCTATCTGAATTTAGTTTGGCATCTGACCATTACTGAAGTTCTAAACCCCAGATCTTCAAATCAGTGCCTTAACTACTGACCAATCACAGATCATCAAATAAAATAATTAGGTATGAAATCCTTAAATTAGTAAAATATTGGTGGGGAAAATTAATGTAATGAGAAAATATTAGCAATAAAATAATTTTTTTATTGAAGCCAATGAATTATATGCGTGTTTATAATTTAGTCAAATTAGGAATTTCATTCGCAAAAGGAAAAAAGCCCCCCTCCCAAACACATAAGTTTGTTTCGCTTCTGAATATGTTCATACAGACCACATTTGTCACCTCGCCAAATATAATAAAATTTAACATTTGGTGAATAAAATTGTGTTTTGACGAATGATTATTTCCTCTAGAAAGAAAAATATACATAAAAAATTTTTAAGATTTGCATTATGCAATGACTTTCAAAAATCTGCTAATACTTTTGATATTTGGTTAATTTACTGGCTAATATTTTTAAATCCTTAGCCTGTGCCCTGTTCATATATTACTTTACATATCAGCCTAGCAAATAAATATTGAATATCAAAATGATATATTAGTTATGTATGTAAAAGAATGAGTTCTCCTCTGTTGGTATATATGTATATGAAAATACCTACTTGAGCATTATTTAATTCATTATTAGCTATACTCAATCAACAACATTTGTGTTAATTTATTTCAAAGCATAATATTGTTTTTTAATTTACTGCCTATTTTGAAATCCGTAGCGTTGGCCCTGTTCATATATTAATTTACGTATCTGCTTCGCAGATAAAAATTAAATATCAAAATAATATGCAGTCAAACCTCGATATCTCGAACTTGAAGGGAGAGGAGAAAAAATAATTGTCGAAAATCACATGTTATCGATGGGAGAATGAAGAAAAATGCTCTTTACATACCTTATTTACCATATTCCAAATTTATTCTAAAAACACTTTTTACACTTTCATTTAAAAAAAGATTCAATTGTTGTTTGCTTTAGAGATGTGTAAGAAAGTTTGTCATAGCACTTTCTATGTGGACTATAGCTTTAAATGTCTCCTCTGACATATGGTCTGACTGGCTGCCTCTCAATAAATCTCCTTGCAGTGTCCAACTGCAGAAAGTGCTTGTTTGTTAGTAACATTGAGCGGTATATCTTCAATTTTCTCATCCTCTTCTTCTGATAGTTCACAAGAAGCTTTTGTTTGAGCGATGATATCATTGTCATCCCACTGACCACACACTGTTACTGCATCATCTACGTTTACAAAGTCATGAAATTCCATGTCATCAAGCTTCATGAGTCCGGTCAATCTGTTCCAATCATTTTCGGTGTAGTTTTCAGCAGAATTAACGATATTGATTGTTTGACTACTTTCGTGATCTTTAATGAATCCAGNGTTATGATTAAATAATTAAAATGATTAATAATAATTATGATTTAATGATAGTGGAAGTAACTGCAAACTTTCAAAGACAAGTGCAACAATGGGTTGTGATGGCTATTTTTCCTTTCCCATATAAATCTATGTATTGACAGCAATGACAAACTAAATAAAAAGAGTTAAAAATAACAGTTCATGAAATCCATTGTAGAGTTTGGGGAAAAAGTAAAGAAGGATTGAGGAAAGAAAGGGCAAAAAGGGTATGGAGTCTATTACATCAGGGCACTAATTTACTTCAGGGGCAACAGGGTGAATTTTTTTTACTAAAAGGGCAGCAGGGTGCTGCGCCCTGTTTACCCTGCCTAGAATGAGCTCTGATCTTAGCTGTGAATACATTTTTTTATATATTATTAATTTTAATTATTGACTACAATAACAGTATAGCGGGCCGGATGTTAAGGCTTTACAATTTCGAGACCAACAGCCTAATTGTGGTAATATGGCCAGTATTGAGCACAGGTTGCCTTCACTTCTACGATTCCCCCCATTGATCTGAATTGATATCATCAATCAGTCAATTTAGATCGATGGTACTTATCGATCTAAAGCTGAGTGGACATCAAGTCACAACTAAGGCCAAATCTTTACAACAATTCAGTGCCTTAAAAAATGACTAATCATAGCTCATCAAATTAAATAATTTAGTTTAAAATTGTTGAACTCCTAAAATATTGGTGGAAAAATTAACATAATTAGAAAATATTAGTAACAAAATCTTTTTGTTTTATTGAAGCAAATAAATTACGTACGTATTTAAGATTCAGTTGAATTTAAAAATTTCTTTCGGCAAAATGGAAAAACCTCCCTCCTACACAGAAAATTGTACCAACGTTGATGACATGAAGGATCATAATAGTCAAAAGAAAAAAGATTTTCCCGAATATGATGAAGAGAGATCGTTAGAAGCTAATCAGAGAGACTGAACTTACTCAATTACAATTAATTGGACTTACTTAATTAGATCGCTTACTCAATCAATTTTCTTGTTTCCTTTTTTTACTAGATTTATCTATCGTTAATATTTCTTTCTTGCATCAAAAATGAAACTTACAAATTTTACAAATGTATTTCTGATTTTTTTTTTAGTTGCAAATTCATTTGTGCATATTAAAAATTCTTATAACGTCCTCAAAACTGTAACCAAAACAATAAGGGTTTGTATGATTTAAAAGTGACTAAAAGCTGTAAACATCCTGAATTTGGTATTACTTTCGAAGTTGAGAGACTTAACTTACGATGATGTAAGACAAGCTAATAATGATGAGACATCAATTTTTGAATGTTTAAATTAATTTTGTCTGCAACTTTTAATGTTTGGTTCATTTTTTTTACCAGGTGTATATCTCACTTGTTTGCTATGAAAATGTCTTACTTCAGCATTAATGTCATTAATTAGCAGTATTCAATTTGCAACATTCATCTTAATTAATTTCAAAACATAATCAAATCTAGTTTGTTTTTTTTTTCCTCAATTTAATTAGCACAAATTTTCACTTAAAACAGCTTGAAAAATTTAAGGTAATACTTTGAATTAAATATATTTTAAAATAGTTAAATGATTAAAAGGACTAAAAATGTCAAATAGTCTTCATACACATGGGTGCCACTTTTCATTTCTAGGAACTGAAGTCAGTCTTGAAAAAAAAATCATAATAATAAGCTAAGATAAGATAAATTTCATCAATTAATATCTTTTTCCATTTGTTTTTAAATAAAAATTTTCTTTTTTCCTTAAAAATGTGATAAATTTTTTTATTAATCATAAAAGTAAAATATCAAGCATTGTTATTTTTTATAATTACTGCAACATGATTAAGTAAGGGTGTCACAATGCAGTGAAAGAACAGGTTTGATTGAACTTCGGATCGTCTTACAAAAGTTGTACTTTTGTATCTCAATTTGCTTCAGTTTTCATTTTTTCCCAACATTTTGAAATGCCAGCAAAAGTTAAGACTTATTTATTTTTTGAAAAAAAAAATAATCTATTGAAATAGGACAAAAGATAAATAATGATGAAATGAAAAATAAGTAGAGATATGAATACTTTTACGAGAAAGTTATTGGTTTATTATTAAATAATTAGTGGAAAAAGATGTGCAAACTGAGCTGTTGTTTTTATTTTGTTTGCTGTAAAAAAAATAGATTAATAGAATAAAGATAAAATAATGTTTAGAAAAATAATTAAATCATTGTTTTAATGCATGAGCCATTATTTTGGCTAGGTACATCTTGAATAAAAAACGCTAAACCTTGTTAATTGGTCAAAAAATAAGTTCAATCTCGAAATTTTTGTTGAGTGGCACTCATGCATACACAGGGTTGCCACTCCACTAGGAGAACCTGGAAAATGCAGGGAATTTTGATTTTTTCTTTACAAACTGGGAAAATACAGGGAATTTTGTTTCTCTTTTTTGTCTTTTAAAAAATGGTGACCACTCAAAATGTAATCTATGGGATGTTTAACCATGCTATTTCAGCTATACTAAGCTATTTCATTTACTATAGCATTATTTAAGTATGTTCAGCTGTTTTTCCAGCAATTAAAACTAATAAATATAGGTAGCCCAACAATAGCTCGCACAAGAGCCCAGTAATTGTTGTTTTCTGTTAATATATTGTGCATAATATGTACAGGGAAAACACAGGGAATTTTTTTTCCAGATTTGAGTGACAACCCTGATACATAATCTACACATAATAGTACACCAAGTTATATTTTAGTAAATCACATAATCGTTTTAATAACTTAACAATAAAAAATAAGCTTTTTATAAATTTATTTCAACAGAATGAATCTTTAAACATAACAATGCTTATAAATAATGCCTCATTAAATAAAACAATATACATTTATGATATTTTAAATAAATTGTGAATGTTTTTCAAAATTTTTCAATGTTACTCTTTTATTTAAAGCATTGTATTTTGAAATTATTAGATTCATTGATAAAAACATATTGCATGCGCATACAATAAATATTTGTTTGCGCTGATAGTAGAAAAAAATTGCCAAATAAAATGTAAAATTCAGAAAAGCACTTCATTCCCATTTATGCTTTTGATTATACCCAGCATAACCAAACTGTTAAATAAGATAAAAAAAACAACAGAGAAATTTTTTAATTTAACATGTTAATAATTTTAAAATCAAACTCCAAAGTAACAAGTATTTCCGAAATATTCAAATTTTTTTTCATTTCGTTTTATTTAACTATTTATGTTAATAATAATAAAAAAACTTATTTAAAAAATTCTTTCCTTAAATAATAAAAAAACAACTTTTTTTTAAACTATGTGTTTTTAACTGCGATTTAAACCAGCTAACACTAGAAGGATACTTTTAATATATATATATTTTTTATGCAATATTGTAGTTTTTAAATTAGATTTAAGGAATATTTTTGATTATTTAAGAGGATATTTTTTAATATTTAGGGTGAGAATTTTTAAAATCCTTTTTGGTGAAAGATATTTTTCCAGCCAAATTAATTGTATCATCAATGCACAACTTTAAAATCACATTAAAAATAACAATTAAAAGAAGCCCATTTAAAATTAGTGGCTTAGTGTGAGGAGAATTTTTTGGGTGGTAGGATAGATTTTAAAATTTGTTTTAGTGGGGGATAATTTTTTATTTGCATAATATTTTTTATTTCCAATGCAGCAGGCGATATAGACATTATCCTAACGCCGTACAGAGATCAAAAGAAAAGAAAAATACAAAAACAGAAATATATGAAATATACAAAATACAAGAACAAAAGCAAAACATCAGACACAAAAATTAAATCGAGAACTTAAATTGAACAAAAATTCTCTGGCCTCCCAGTATCGGGAGTAGATGCAGTTCTTTGTGAAAACTGAACAGTTAAGAAGATGTTCAGCATTCATCGTCACACCACTGTGGCAGAGGGGACAGGCAGGATTATCCACTATTTTAAGACGGGAAAGATGGGCCTATAAGCAATCGTGCTTGGTAGCAAGATGAAAGGCAGCTACAGCACTGCTTCTTGGGCAATCGGGGAGATTAAGGATGTCATTTCCCTACGATTTTTCTTTTGTCCGTTCTTTTAGCAATGATATATGTGTTGTCTTAATTGTATGATTAATCATTAACAAAGTGGATTTATAGCTAGCCAAGTTATTTGGGGCTTTATTAACAAAGCAACCTTTTTTGGCCAGTGTATCAGCTTTTTCGTTGCCGGGGATACCACAGTGGGATTTGCGTAATAAGAAAAGCGCATTTTTGACCGGTGGACCCCGAGAAGAATATTTCTTAAAACTTTTTTTGATGAGGTTATTATTTGAATTATTTTTATTCCATTTTTATTGTATTCAAAAAATATGTTAGAGTTCCCAAAAAAATCTGAATATTTAAGCAACAAATCCTTATTTCTTGTGACTGCAATATTAACAAGTCTTCTATCAAAGAAAGTGGAATTGATACATTTCTCTATATTAAGAGTTAAACTTTTTAATTTTGGCAGAATTAAATTCCTTGGTACCAGTTTTGAAAGTAATTCCAAGATTGGTGGCGTGAAGAATAAAAACAGTTCAAAAAAAGATTTTCCCGATTATGATGAGGAGGTATCATTACAGGCAAGACAGAGGCTGGTGAATTTTAAAAGTATTTATGTATCCATTTTACTTAATCAACCAATTATCTTATTTCCTTTTTTGGGGAGATTTTATCGATTATTATCAGTTTAATACTTTTTTTTTCGTGTCAAAAATGATTTTAAATTTCAACGAAGCATTTCGGATTTTTTGGGGTTGCATGTTTATTCGTGCAAATTAAAAATTCTTATAATATATTCAAAAATGTAACCAAGATAGTTTGTATGATTTAAAAAAGTTACTGAAAGTTGTGAGCATCCTGAACTCACGTTGTTTGCCTAACCCAGGGACAGGTGAAACACTGAATGAAAAAACAATTGTCTAATCCTACCAATGCATGATAAACTAACTGCATTACTGAAAGAAAAACTTCTAAACCTTAACGCAGTGTTTCCCAAACGTATGACTTTTGTATACCCTTTCTAAATTTTTCGTAACTCTGTGTACCACTAATAAAAAAATGAATGTGTTGTTTACTATAAAAAAATTGCACAAAAGTTAAAAATCACAACTGGCTGTTGACACCACTAATTATTAAGTTTTAACTCTGCCAAAAATAGCCAATAAAAAATACTTAATTGTAAATTTTCATGGCTAGCCTTGCTTTTAAATAAAAAATTTTGAAATTTTCGTTTGTTGTAAGTTCTTTCGTATCAGAAAGCGTAGCTCCGCTAAACTGTTCCTGTACCCGTGGGGTACGGGTACCACACTTTGGGAAACACTGCCTTAATGAAAGAAGATGAAAACTTAACTTATGAAGATGTAAGACAAGGTGTTAAAGCTGAGAGAGGAATTTTTGTTAGTTAATTTTGTTTGCAATTTCTTAATGCTTAATTCATTTATTTCTACCAGGTTGAATGCTGTTTTAGTTCTGTTTAAATTCCACAAGCAGGAAAACTTCACCTTTAATCAAACAAGGTAACTTTTTTATGGTTTTAACATCTTAATGTCTTATAAACATTATATATGATATATTAAACTTTATATAGCTACATTATATATGATTATGGCATCTTATGTGTTTATGTATTATGCTCAACTACCAATTTTTTGTCTTATGTACTAATATATAAGTGAACTTTAAAAAATATAACATAGTAATGCCGGCTCGCAGGATTCAATTCCATAGTTAAATTTTCTCGTGTATAATTGCTAAATTATATGTTTTCTGTTGAAGATGGTCGTAAAATAGAAACGAGTTAATTTATGAGTAATAATGTGATACTGTACTGCGTAATTCTGATTAAATACCGTGCGGTGAACACATTAGTTCAAAGTTCTAGAAAATTTTTAAAACTGTCATTTTCTAAAACAAAAAGTTTTTTATTGTTATATCATAAATATTTTTTTGCAAGGAAATAAATCATGCTTGTGAAAGAAACAGAAATATATATATGTTACCGGCAAAGTATGAAACGCCGGCATTGTATAGAATGACTAGGCATTGTATAGAATGCCTGACGTTTTTAGGCAAAGTATGAAATGTGAGAAGTATTGCATACTTTGACTAGGCATTGTATAGAATGCCTAGGCATTCTATACAATGCCGGATGCTATTTAGGCAATGTATGAAATAAACGTCCTGATGAGGTTATTATGTAAATGATGTGCATGTTACTGTGAATGAGCGAAATCGGTGGTTGTTGACTTTCACCGGCGAATGTCGACAATCACATAGTAGCATTGGTAAATGTCCGAAACATTTATTACATCCGATTTGATATTAATTTATTCGTGGATGTAATTACATTTATTCGATATTTTAATACTTACTGACGTTAGTTTAGAAGAAACATCAGTGTTTGAAGTAGCATTCTAATATATACCGGGCAATGGCACTTGACCTTAAAAAAACATCAGTGTAGGGTATAATAGGCAAATGCATACCGGGCAGTGGCACTTAACATTAAAAAAAACATCAGTGTAAGGTATGCCGGGCAATGGCACCGGACCTTAAAAAACATTGGTGTAAGGTATACCGGGCAATGGCACTTGACCTTAAAAAAACATCAGTGTAGGGTATACCGGGCAGTGGCACTTAACCTTAAAAAAACATCAGTGTAAGGTATACCGGGCAATGGAGCTTAACTAGACCTAGTATATATTTCGAACATTTACCAAAGGTCCAGTCTAGTTCTAGTTAAGCATTGCTCAGTATACCCTACACTGATGTTTCTTCTAATCTATCGTCAGTAAGTATTAAAATATCGAATAAATGTAAAGCTACCGATTTCGGACATTCACAGTAACATGCATTTCTCAAAAATAAAAATGCTATTCTGAAAAAATACTGAGAGTGCTATTGAAAAACATTTATTCAAAATGTGGAAAGAAAATTAGAAAGTTATGCAAAACAAAATTTAAGCCTTTCTTATTAAGGAAAACAAAATTTTCATATAAAAAATATGAAATTAACCTACTTTATCAATATGGCAGGCTTGAATGACATTTTGAATTAAATTTCATTAAATTTTTCCGTGTAAATTTCATTAAATTCCTCCATTTACAAGCAGCACAGTAAAAAAATAATTTTTGTTATTAGTCAAAAGTTACGAGGCTTGCCAAATATATTTGAAACGAATCGGAGATGTATTTTATACTTTGCTGGTTTCTCATTTGGCAATCTATAGAATGCCTAGGAAATGTGAGAAATATAAATCATTTCACACTTTGCCGGCTAATTTTAGGCATTCTATACAATAACCTAGTCATTCTATACAATGCCGGATTTCATATTTTGCCGGTTACATATATGGTATTGATTAAAACTGCACCAATTACCATAACACCAAAAGTATCTATTACTAAAATTAATTAGGTATCATTGAATTAGGTGCCATTATGCTTTTTTTAAATGTCTAATAAATTATGACATTATTAGCATCTGTGCTGTTCTGGCACGGGAATTTAATCCCATTCCAAATTCTTCTAGTTTGATATTTTGAAGAGGAAAAAAGATGTTCAGTACTTGAAACTTTATAGTTTACTTTTAGTTTATCTGACTTAGTTTTTTCCTATACTTTAAATTTGAATTAATGTTATAAAAAGAATTCATTGTAAAAGGTTTTTCCCATGGTATTGCCACAGTTCTCAAGGTACTTGAAAAACCTTTAGTTTTTGCTGGAAAAAATCAGGAACCCAAAAAGTCCTGGAATTCTGTGATAGTGTCCTTGAAAAGTTATTGATTTTCTCAGAATAATTTTTTAATATTTTTCCTACAAAAAAAGCATGTGAAAATTACCATTATATTTATATACACACAAACTTTTTTCACTTTCACAAAACTAGCTTTTATCCATATTGATGTTTTGCACTATTTTCAAAATAAGTATAGACAATGCTGGCTTTAGATAGACTGAACTTGGCCTAACAGTCATGAGTAACAGTTGCAAACACACTGCAGTTATGAAAATAACATATTCAACAAAAAAGCATCATTTCATATTACAACGGAACCTTCAAAAATCAGCCTTAACAGCTGTAATTCACATGTTCTAAACTCCCTGTTGCGGAAATATATTCTTAATTAATCTCTAAACACAACCTTTCTGATATAATTATTAAATGTTAAATACTAGGCATAGGTTTTATTTACATTTGAGTTAATTTGTGGTATAAATACCTTTTAATATTTATTTACAAAATATTTGGGAAATTTTTTGTTTTCAATGGTTATATATTCTCCTAAATTGACTTATTCTTTTGAAATACAACACAAACAGAATAGGTTATCTACATTATCTACTTTTTTTAGAAGCTGAGACATTTATCTTATTTCTTCGAGTTTAGCTATTAAAAGTTTACTCTTCTGTATCAAATTTAATATGATATAATAATATTAATGTATCAGTTTGTTTCTGGATTTTAGTGGTAACAACTAAATACTTGAACTTCTTATATAAATTTCAATGTTGAACGTTTACATGTTTTTTCTTTGTTCATTGTTGTAGTGTGTCGCATTTGATTTCTTCTTTTTTGTCTTGAAGTCGAAAGAGTCCGGTTGGACTCCTTCATAACAGAATATATGCACTAAAACAATATAATTCCTAATCCCAATTCTACAAATTATTGTTAAAGACATAAAAATTGGAGGTTGTTTTAAAATTGATATTCTTTTTGCATTTAATGCTTAGAGAAAAAGAATTCATCTTTTGTTTATGTTTTAACTCAGTGTTTGGAGAATCTAAGGTATTCACTATCTTCTATCATTTCCCCTATTAGAAGTGTTAAGTCAGCTTTTAAAAATCCATTACGTTTAATTTTAAATTTTGCATAGCTCTTTTCAGAATAAATGCTATGCCACAAATCTACACCTAAAACTATGCGCATGAATAATATTTGAACTGCCTCTAGTATATAGTGTTACATCTGGTAAAAGTATTGGTACATTTTGTTTATTCTCCTAAATTGAATCTTCTGAAAAACAACACAATCAGAATACGTTTCGCTGCGCTATACCTAATTTTTAGAAACATTGACGTTGATCTTATATGTTCGATTTTAACTTATAAAAGTTTACTCTTCTGTATCAAAAGTTATATGATGTAATAATTTTAATGTATCAATTTGTTTCTGGATTTTAGTGGTAACAACTAAACATTTCAATTTCTTATGTAAATTTAAATTGGGAACTTTTATATGTTTTCTCTTCATTCGTTGTTGTAGTGTGTTGCATTTTTGGATTTCTTCTTTTTTGCCTCAAAGTTGAAGGAGTCCGATTGGACTCTTTCATAACAGAATAGGTCAACTAAAACAACATACTGTTGAACCCCGATTTTACGTTTTCCGTTTCGTGCGTTATCCCGCTTGCTACGTCATTTTCTGTTCGTCCATGAAAACTGACTATCTATACCAATAATGTTAAATTATCTCTGATTTTATGTTATCCCTTTTGAGAAAATCCCGCTTTGTTTTTTCTGCCAGCCTGCAAGATCAAAATCATTTTGTTCCAAAGCTCTGAAATGCTTTTTTTAAGACTTGTTTGTTATCTGTGTGTAGCTTTTCTGCTTACTATGTCATGTTTTCCCACTTGCTACATCATGTTATACCCCTTGCTGCATCATTTTTCTGCTGGTCCGTGAAAATTGACGGTCAATGATAATAGTAAGTATTGACAGGGATATTTTTATAATTGCATATAAAAACAAAAAATATGTAAAGATTACACATTTTCTCTACTAGTTCATCTCATAAGGGTGCATTTTTGAAAATATACTGACATTTTTTTTACCCTGATATTACCTTATCCCCCTTTGTGCATTTTTTAACACTAGTATGACTGAAAACGTAAGCAATTTCTCTGTGATTCTTAATCCTTAAAAAGAATTATCAAAGAAATTAAAATGGGAATATGCTTTTTTACATTGCATGCTTTGAAAAGAAAAAAAAATTATCTTTTGTTAATGTTTTTGCCTTTGAGATTCTGGGGCGTTCGCTATCTTCTATTTATATCAGCTATTAGGAGTGTTAAATCAGCTTTCAGTCAAGAGCAACATTCTGCACCTATAATTGCTACGAGGACTTTACTTTTAAAGTGCTCATATCTTTATATCTTATGAGTTTTCTATCATTTCTCAAATATTAGTACTATGACCAAATTGAGATAGGGAGTGCTTTGTGCCACATAGGTAAAACATTAAGTGATTAAAGCAAGAACGCATAACATTGATAGTTTTCATTCTTTTATTAACCTTCCTTAGGGTCGTAACATAAAGTGACAAAGGGAAACATGTCAGAAACAAGTTGCAAAAAAGACTTAAAAGAATAAGCTTAACTAGAAGGGGAGAAAAATAAACTCAAACAAGATATCAAACACAGTACATAAAACAGGTTTGTGGATGGAGAGTAGGGAGATAACTCTGGGTGTGCGAGAATTGTAAATAGATTTGAGAATGCTAGAAAGTTAACCTGAAGCGATA